AAATTTGTAAACAGGAAGCCATTAATTAAAAATGTATTATCACATTTTTTTTAACAAAATGAAAAAATTAAAAAAAAAATTACAGATTTTTCTATATTGTACTCTCTTAAAAGTAATATAAAAAGTTTAGCAACTCAGAACCTGGAAATTATTTCAATGAGATGTAGACATGTTTTTGAAAGATAATCAGGATAAAAACAAAATTTTCATTTAAACTATAAAATTATATTATTAAATATAAATATTGATCTTATTGAACAAACCTATATATGATATTTGTTTTTATACAGAAAATGTAAATTTTTAATTCCAATCACGTTTTGCAAAAAGACTATATAATTTAATATATCCTTAATGTGATTTTTAAATAAATATCAATCAAGAGTAGATTTAATTTCTTTAGACAGCGAAACGATGGACCAAATTAAAAGTTCCTCCCCCTTCACTAAAAATCTTGTTTTCAGTACTTTGACTTTTGAGTAATTTTTGCAAGAACTTATGTTATTTTATTGGTATTTCTGAATCATGTAAAACAGAAGACGAATGTTTAAGGGTTAATACGAACAATAAACTCGAAACGAATCGAGTTAGTATCAAAAAGAGTCGGTGGTTTATGATCTACGTAATTTAGCGGAAAATCAAAAAACACTTTCGAAAGTTCATCGATAGATATATTTTCTCGTACGAATTTCTTGATTAAGTTGGGATATTTTCTAGCAGTATCTCTTCGGGACGAGTTAATAAGAGACGCGCAATTTCGTGACGTTCCAATTTCGGAAGACGTACGTTGAAAAGAGCTGACAGTTTCGAACATTGAATTCCTTTTTAATCTCAAATAATGTACAAAAGTACTCGTGGTGCATTAAGTACTCATCACTATTAAGTCGCATTGTTCCGCAACTGTGCAACGGTGCATTCATATAATCCAAGCGTGCTATCCGAGTAGATACAGTTATGGCCCCGAGGAGTCCATAAGCGCATCCTCTGTCCCTCGGCGCGCCATTGATCACGGAGATGATCTTCTGGCGTCCATGGAAGTCATGCAATTCGAGGCGTTTCGCGAAAAAGTCACGTACGACCCGCGCAAAATGACGGTTCGACCCAGAGAATAGGTCATGCTCGATCGCGTCGTCGCACGACCGATGGTAATAGAAAACCATCGTCCGCAAATGGCACATTTCACTGAGTGAATCCTTGCCTGATGATTGTAAATGATAGCTACTTAAAATCTTTCTACTAACTTTACTTCTAATATTACTTTCTCAGACATTTAAATATCTTCAATATTAGTGGGATGTTGTAAACACTCGTGTGTATCCTTTTCTAAATTATAGAACAGAAATATGTAGCAAATGAAAACATCATGCAGGAAAATTACTATATACATATTAATCACGATGTGTAAGATATTTTTCTTGTGAAAAATCAAACGAGTTGTTTCGTCGCTAGCTGTGTCTTTAAATGCACAGAACGTATTACAGCATTTAGCTTGTTGAATGTTTCCACTCTTTATTTAATTCCAATTACATCGGAGAAAATCGCGTAGACACTTAATAATTAAAGGGCTGAGAGCAAAAATGTACCAAGTCCATAATTTGTAAGAGCCACTTTACATACGACTTTGTACTTAAAGCAGGCTTTACAAATTACAGACTCCGTCCGCTCTTGCTTTGAAGCCCTTAATTATGCTACAGTCTCTTTTCACCGAGATTTGTCCATCTTCCGAGAGGCCCAGCGACATGCGAGGAACGCACGCCGATTAGCTCGTCTTGATTTTTCCCACACTCGAGAAAGCGAGAGGGTAGGCCCACGTCAGCGGGACATTTAATATTCAGCTAAGTTCCCGACAGGAGGACGGGCCCGTATGCATGCACCGGGACTCCGTTCCATCCTTTCGTCGGATAATTCCAATTCCGCGGCGGACATTGACGAATCATCGATTCGCGCGGGCATCATTAACCAAGCGGCTACCTACGTGCGCCGTTCGTTGCCAGGCTCGAACGAGAAGTCAGGTTATTGGCCAAACGCCTTCGTCTCGCGTCATTTTTTAGTTGCTACGATTACGTTACGTTCCGCAGATCAAAATTTAAGTATGTTTTGGGACACGAACTTGTAATACTTACGATGATATACCTGTATTATTTAATCTTTAAGTAGATAGGCGGCTTATACAAATGGCTTAAAGATACGTAAGTTCATGGATTGCTTAGAATATGCTAAACAAATTTTAATTTTATAGTTATATTTTTACTAGTATATTATATTACTAAATTTACATTAGTTATATTAAAAAATAGAAGAATATGGAAATAACGAATTTTGGGCAATTGGACAATACTTTTTGTTTTCTTTTTCTAAAACAAAATTTTACTGTGATCTCACCTCATCTATCCACTTATAAAGATTCGAAAAAAACTAAAGATTTCAGTAAAACAATGATATAATTTTGATATAATTTCTTCTATATATAAGTTCTCTTATATGTTTATCAAATCTTAATTTATAAATCTGTTATGTCTTTTTTTATTTACAAGACTTGAAAGTTTTATCAAAGTTTTTAAATTTCTCTTATTGTTAGATGTAATATAAAAATTTTCAAAAAAAATTATTTTGGAGATGTTTAAATATATTCAGAATTTTGAATTTTTTAAAAAAAATTGTAAAATAAAATTCTGAAAAAAGAAGTAAACATGCGATATTTTTATTACTTAATAATTTTATCTTAGCTTGTTATATAACAAATTCAAAACCAGTTTTTCTGTAATTTGAACTGTAATAGAGATTGTTATAAATATCACTGCCCATTAGCGATTATGATGATGAGACTGAATCAACGTTTTCATTTCGTTGAAATAATGAAGATAACTAATATTAATTTCCTGAAGTTACTAGATAATTACAGATAAGAGAAAAATGAGGAATGTAAAGAAGACGATTACGTATTTAACAACTTTTATTCTAGAAATAACCGTGAAAAGTTTCCTGTTTACGCACATTTCCGCTATGCGGCGATCGTCGCGTTAGTGCAGTCTGCTCTATTTTTCGTAAAAAGACCCGCCACGACGGGACAGCGATTCTCTCGTGTTGCCGTCTTGTCGCCGAAAGAGATAACGCCATCGGAGCGTTACGATGATGGGTCGCGGACGCGTAATAAACTTTATTAATGATCGTTTCGCGCGCGACCGGGTGAGGACACGCACGCGGATAACGCGTATGAGACGGATGACGTCACCTGCTGCGGGACGTCCTACTCGTGCACAGACACCCGCGAGGCCGAGGTTACCGTGAGTACGTACACGCAATGCGAACACGCTCGCGAGTCGAAGGCACCGCGCGAAGCCGCGTGTGAGCGCGCGCGAGACAAGTGGAGAAGGGGGAATCGACGCAGAAGTGAATGAATGTAGCAAAGCGTGGGCGAGCAGTGGTTCTCCAGGGGTTCTCCATTTCCGGATGAATGACAAAGGTTCACCAGCGGCATGTATCCAAGGGATTTTCAATAGTCGTTCCAATCGATTGAAATAGGACTACATAATACAATAACAGAGTGTAAACGCACACTAAATTTGTTATATTTTTTAAATATGTACGTATTACCAAATAATAATATAATTGTTTTGCAATCTATCGGAATGCATTATTTGTGATTATGCTAAATTTTATCATTTTGAATCTAAAGCAATAATACGTTTACAAAATGTATATAAAAATAAATATGAATTTTGAAGAAAAAACATTTTTAAATCACGTTGATTTTAAAAGCTTCTAATATATTCCATCTATAATGCATTCGCATTAATCTATGAAATTGGTCTAATTTTTAGTAAGGTAATAATTGTTCAAATAAATTTTAATTTGCTGAAATCTTATTAGACTAGAAGAAAAATTGAAGAAACTAGAATTAATATAGAAATATGGGATTCGATATAAAAGTGTACTTAAAAATTAAGAACAAATGTAAGAATTTCGACACAAGAATGTTTGAAAAATATGACAGTGTAATATAATCGCGTCAAGTCTTGCATGTGAGCGGAGCTTAAGAAGGCGTGCAACATGCACGCGACCATCTCAACCAGCTCAGCGTCAACACTGCAGTACTTACCGGGTGGATAACATCCGGCTTCCATCGCATCGGTTAGACGACACGGTGCTTGATTCATTCATGAAAAACACGAGACTTTATCCCAATTAACACGAATCTCCACTCAATTCATGTGGCCCCGACGGTGGTCATTAATTTCCCGTGGTGCCACTCGTGACCGCTTCGTCGATACCAGCGGTTCGGACGCAGGTTCGAGAAGACAAAGAGTACATACGAACGTGGAGGAGGGTTGCGGAGAGGGTAGAAAATGCTTAGACCTCGCCGTACTCGGAACTCGGAGTCTTTCTCTTGATCTATGTACCTATCTCCTATCCGGCAAGCGCTAACTACATCCGAACGTTATAAGCCGTACGTTATAGCTCGCTAGTCTGACAGTATTTGTAGTTAACTACCTAGGACCTTAGGTGATAAGGACGGTGCCTTCTAAGATTATTTTTTCTCACGTTCATTAAAAATCATGAAAAAAAATTTTATATTTTATAAACATTTATTAAATATAAAAATATTGTAATATTTTTTATAAATATTAATACATTTTACTATCATTTTTTAATAGCATTTGAACATCAATAATCTTCTCATTCTATAAAATAGAACTAAAGCTATCTTTATATGTATGTTTTATCTTATATGGCATTCTGTTTTTTTCTGTAAGAGTTAAAATTTAATTTTTGAGATGAATGTTATAAGAATGTTTCCGAAGAAACAGGAATATACATACATATATAAAAGTAATAAGTAAATATTTTCATAACTTAAATTTTGAACTCTAATTGCTATTAACTTCTTTCTGTATTCTTTATCCGACTTTTTCCAAAATTCATCTCTATACGTTTAGATCCGTCTTTGTGTCTATACTCATTCATATGCTGTTATATGGAATGTTTCTCCTTGGCATTAATTTTTTTTTTCTCCATCGACATCATTGGTTACACCTTATCTCTCCTCTTCGCGAGCACGCACTCCTCTTCTATACACGTTGTACGCGTCACACGTACACGTTCTATCTTACGCGACATGTCACAGCCGTCGGCTTGTCGCATTTTCGACGAGACGTGGAATTCGGCCTTGACAGGTAGATAAGACGAGATGGCGAAAGAGAACCACGCCGCGTGCAGTCGTAGCTCTCTTTTCCGAGATGGGCCTCGCCCTTCCTCACGGCGGCGCCGGCGTCATCGCCACTGTGAATTTTCCCCCCTCAGCACTTTTTCTCGTGAATTGATACCGCCGTCGTCGCTACTGCTGCACAAACCGGTCCACTTTAGAGGCGCATAGTAGCGCCGATCGTGGATACTCCAGAACCAAGCTGATGCCGAGCAGAGGGACGTCTTTGGAGCCGCGTGAGAGAAAATCCTCCCTGCAATCCATGATGCTGCGATACTAATACGATTGCATAGTATGCATGCGGCCCGTATAGGAGCGCGTGCATGAGTCGGATGTTCGTTACATATGATACAAACATTTGCTTTTAATTGGCTGACGTTATAACGCATCGATCCAATTAGGAGAGCCGAGTAGAATAAATCGTTTAATCGGTGGCAGTGATTTACATTCTTCTTGTATATCGGAGAAGTCGCCTACGTGGTCGGGCTCAGGCTTGCGTAATTTTCCTTCCTGCTGTGGCAATTATCACGGATGTGTAGTCGGTAGCGATTGAAAGTAGAGTACGTCTAGTGGCTGATCACGATATGGCAAATTATATTGTTTCACGGTTAACATGTTTGTTTTATCTACCAACAGTCGGCATTAAATAAATTATTAAATTAGTTTCTACATTTTTAAGAACTACGTCCATAAAGCTTGATTAAAATGACAGGGAAAGTCGGAAGTTGATAACTGCGTATAGATTGTTCTTATCCTAAATCGGACAACGTAAACGACGAGTATATGGCTTCGAGAGTCGCCGTGAGAAAATCGTGATCATTCGCGATATGACTTTCAATTTTCTCAGGTGGATCTTCTCCATAGTGAAAGTTCGCAGAATCATCGGACGTATCCGTAGAAAGTACTTCCAACGGTATCTCGTTCATAGGCCGCCTACAATATTTGGAAATTAGTTGTAATAATAATTCTTCAATACTATTTACAGAAATCTAAAATAATACTGATCAATTCAATACACTAAAAGATAATGATTAATTATTTACTTTATGTGTTAAAATCACTGTTGTTTAGTACTTAATAAGTAATTAATCACCATTACATCTTCTAGCATTAAATTTCTGCAAGAGAAAAGATTCTTGTGTTATGTTTTTGAAGTGCAAAATAAACAAAAAAAAAAGTATATAAAAGTCATTATCAAGAAGATGTCGATTGCTATTAATTTCTATTATGCTAATATTTGACTAATTTTTTAAAATAAGTATTTATTTTTAATAACTATCTTTTCATATATATTTAGTGATAATACAGAGCATACATTTTTAATATTTAGTGTAATATATCTTTTCGTAAAAAATAATAGTTCATTATTTAAAAAAATTTTTTTTAATTACTAGAGGCTAGTAGACATGAGAATCTCTTTTTTTGTTTTTTTCAGAACGTTCAGAACGTACCGCCTTTTTATTTATGACAAAATTACACATTGCTCTATGCTATAATTCCGAGAATATTATCATTGTACAAACGAGTGATGACACCACACCCGCAATTTACCACTGACGCAACTCGGTAAACGCTATGCGATGTTTCAAAAGCGCTAATGCGCAACGCGGATTTGTGTGTGGTTTCTTTAACGATTATCGACTGCCGCGAACAAAAGTTCAAGGCGTCCTACGCTTAAATCGTCGACGAACTTCTTCCACGGCAGACCCGGAAGACGGCCGAACACGAGCTTTACGTGTAACCGTTTATCTACGTCGCGAGACTGGTCGTCAGTCGGCTCGATATTTGAGGCGAATAGAATATGAAGAAGCCGCCGGGATAATGCAAGTTGAGTACAGTGCCCCTGATGAGTCGTTCTTCCTTTTAACGATAGATACAACATGAGTACGAGAAGTAACGTTTGGGAAAACGTGCACTCAATCATACTTGAATGAGCGATAATTAAAGTTAGTTCGCATTTGCTTATGGAACTATTCTGTCTTCGCGCGATTGTTTAGATTGCCGACGGAACCGATTCTGCAATGAGCAGACAAATTTCTTGCAATTTTTTAGCAACGATTTTTGTGGCTACGTAAAATTGTTCCGTTGAAGTTGATCAGCGCTATACGTTTAACTAAATCAAATTTTAGTTAATTAAATTTAAATTTTTTTTCTGTTTTTATGTACCGACAATAATTATGCGACCGTATTATATTTAACAATAAGAGAAATAGAACAAATTATCAGCGAAAGTTAGTTAAACATTATCTGAAAAGATTCACACCTATGCTTCCGACGAAATAATTAACAGATTTCTTGATGCTATTACCATCTCGCGGCAGACACACGTTGCAGTTTAATCGCATTTTAGAAAAGGAGCAGAAATATATGAGCTCGATCGCTTGCTCATGCGTTTTCATCATCACCAATGTAACATGGAGGAAACGCCTAATGGTCCGCGAAGTTCACTATCGATTACGCGACCGCATATCACCAGTCGGAAAAACAAGACGAGAACCGGAGAAACACATTATATTATGGAGAATGAGTGCACGAGCATGCATGTCGATATTGACGTTCTCTGTCCGAATTAATCATCGGCATAGTCCAATCGCCGAACGCTAATACGGTAAATTAACCAAACTGCGCGGAATGATAATTATCTGTATTTGGTCTCGGATCTTCAAGGAAAAGTGGTATAGCAATAGCGTAAAATCCAAATACGCAAAAGCTGTATCCTTCCTTTTACTCTTAAAAGTTTAGTAATTATATTTTAAAGCCTAGTTTCACAACTCACGGTTAACCATGACGTGCACAGTTCGGAAAAGAGACGTTATTAACGATGCAAGTAAGCCAACGGCACTCGATACTGTCAAATGTTATTGATTAGTCTTCATTCGTCTCTTCTAAGAATTTCAAATGTCACTTTCTTTTGTAACGTCGGAATTTGAATATATATATCGAACGTCATTTCCGCATGCACGCATGATAACAATCTCTTATCAGCGACATGTGTCTGGAAGAATATGAAACATATCCATGTTTTGTAAAATAATTATTTTTGTTATAAAAGAACATAATTGACAATGGGCTAGACAAATGGCAAAACAGGTGTGTACAATTATTCATTGTCAATCCTTAACGAATAGATCGTTATTCACTGGCGCAGTATAAATGTTGCTACGACATGACACGATGTAAACATTTACAGTACAAGCAGTATCAGCGCAAGATTGCAAAATGAAACTATCAGTGATATTCTTGGTCTTGATGATAGTAGTGTGTGCCATGTTTCAGGGATCGGTAAGTCTTAATTTTTAAACACGATCTTTTTTAACGATAAATTTTTGAAAAATAACGAAATTTTACTCTGTGTGAAGGAAGCCTGGCCTCGTCGTAGAAACTGTAGACGCCCTACCACCACCACCACCGCCACCACCACCACCACCACCACCACCACAACAGCAGGCGCAAAATAATACAATTTTATAATGAACAGATAAATAGATCCTCAAACCTATCTAGTCATGAAATAGAAAAGTTTTGTCTCATATATATAGTTGTTGTCTAGTTCTTTAGTCAATTGCTAATCGGTAATGTAACACTCACTTCTTCTAATAGCTATAAAAAAATTAGCTATAGCTAGGAATAAAAAATTGACTAGTAATAGTCTTTTCTGGACCAGATACAGCGACTAAATAGCAAATAAAAAATTAAATAAAACAAAACATTTTTTTTTTTCTCTCTCTCTCTCTCTCTCTCTCTCTCTCTCTCTCTCTCTCTCTCTCTCTCTCTCTCTCTTTCTCTAATCCCTAGTTTTTAAAATTCAAGATTCTGTATCAGGGATATCTAATCTCCAAATAGTTTTTATTAATTATAATTTTTATATATTTATTACTTTTTTTATTATTCTTCTTAAGAGATAAATAGATATTTTCTATATTTAAAAATCTTGTGTATACTAATCAATATATAAAACCTATGTATTCATACAATATACATTGGTATACAGGCAAATAGAATCAATGTTGTTTATAATTGTGTGTACTATTTAATCACACAGTACACAATTTAAATTGTATCTAGAAAATACTTTTATATACTTGTAGAGAGTAGAATTTGAATCTGAAACTATTGACTTTTGAACTCATCTCACGTATTGCGGAGCGCTATATTATTAATACGTGTCTATATATGTTACTCAGCACAGTTATATAATATTATATAATTTTCTAAAAATTTCACAGTTATATAATATCGTATTTCCTAAAAATATTATTTAGTTACACAAAGGAAATAAGCATAATTTAATTTATAAATTATATTTTTTTATACTTTTATTGTTTAATTAAAGTTGTAACAAAAAGCTACATTTATTTGTATCATTTAAATAATTACAAACTGTAAAATTTCTCTCATTCTTTCATTTAATAAACTTTAAATAATATATTTGTTATGTAGGTTGCTTTGAACATTTCTGCAAGGCATTAGGCGTCGTGTCACATTAAAAATATTAATATGCTAACTTTTATTCTTCTAATGACACTTTTGCCTTCGACGCATCAACAAATATTCATTCGTCAGCCGTGAGACATATTCAAAGTTGACACTTTCGAAAGAAAATGAATTTATTACGAAAACATTTCCACGCAACAATTTTCTATGATTTTAAGAAGTCGTTAACTCCGCTACAATGTGTCGAAAGTCTTCGTTCGGTATTTTACGATGAAACACCCTTTCAAAGGACTAATGACTATGCATGGTACGTGAACTTCAACAACATATTTACCGAAACAAACTGAATGCGCTGTTTTCATGTGATTTTTCTTTTTAATTATCTTTAAAACAACAATCGACAATTAACTCGCAAGTCGATTAACTCGTTGCATTCCAAAATTCAACTTTGTCAACCCGAGTATCATTTTATCCTTGTTGTTCACCGAATGTTGATTTCATTTAGTAGCATTTTTAAAAAAAGTAAAATAGAACATTATGCGTACCTACAATTATTCTATTGTACGAGATATTTAGGCTAAAGTTAAGAACGTATCTTTTGTTTCTTCGAAAACATTGACGTTTCACAGAACGTGAGAATTACTCTGCGTTAAGAGGATATTAATTATTTTCCACGATGGGGACAAATAAGACAAATAAATTGCACGTTTCTCCGCGATATGTTGCAGATAAAATGATTGTTATAAATACGCGTTTCAAGAGAACTAGTTTTTTAGTCTACTATCTTTTGCATAATTTGCTTTTTGCGTAATTTCTATGTCAAAATGAATAGAATTCAATGTGTGTCGCACAATCAATAGAAATACACTGCATTCTCATACTCACCTAATAAAGCTTTTCCGCGGTTGTTTAAAGACCGAGTCACCATCAGTCGATTCGATTTACATGCAAATAGCATTCATTTTAACGGCAGTATCTCATTGTCAATCGCTAGCAATAGAAGTATCTGACGCAAACTGTGATATAACATTAAACTAGTTACACTGTAGCGTTGAGAAAATGCGTGCTGCTTTTATAAATTACAGTTTAATGTTGCGTGCATTTATGTATCAAAATTATGTATTCAATCTCCTACATAATATTAATTAAGATATAATTATTCATGATATTTTAAAACTGATATATTAGAATATTTAAAATTATATTTACGATAAAGAATACAAATGAGAAAACAGATATTATGTAAGTAAATGCATTATTTCATTTCTTAATATCTAAAATAATTAATAAATTAATAAAAAAAATCTAATAAATATTTTATTATGAAATTTTGTTCGAAGAAAGCTACATTATTGCTTCAAAAGTAAATAATCTCCTTGACTAAAAGCGGATCATAATTAAATCATAACATGAGTTTTCATAATGCAGTTAAACAAAATTCTTCTTCAAAAAATCATACAGACATTTTTTATGTAACGTGTTTTCCATTTG